GTGGCAGAAGCAACCCAAACATCCATCAAAAGATGAATGGATAGGGCTTCCCTGGTGGCACAGTGGTTGAGAGTCCGCCTGCCGATGCAGGGGACACAGGTTCGTGCCCCGGTCCGGGAAGATCCCACATGCCGCGGAGTGGCTAGGCCCATGAGCCATGGCCTCTGAGCCTGTGCGTCCGGCGTCTGTGCTCCGCAACGGGAGAGGCCACAACAGTGAGAGGCCCGCGTACCGCAAAAAAGAAAGAAAAAAAAAAAGAAGGGAATCCTGTCACATCCTATAAAATGGATAAACCTAAATAAAATAAGCCAGTCACAAAAGGACAAATAATGTATGATTCTACTCACATAAAGTAGATAAAGTAATCGAACTCATAGAAAGTAGAAAGGTGGTTACCAAGGGCTGAGGGGAGTGAAGAGGAGTAATTAGTGTTCAGTGGGTATAGAGTTTCAGTGTTGCAAGATGAAAAATTTCTAGAGACCTATTGCTTAACAATGTGACTATACTTAACACTACCAAACTATACACTTAAAGATGGTTAACATGGCAAATTTAATGTTGTGTGTTTTTTACCACAATTTTTAAAACTAGGACAAAATACTTTTTAGATTTCCAAAATGTGAAAGATTTCATCACCAGAATATGTGCTTTCTAAGAGAATACTTTAGGTAGAATTATACCAGATGTAAATGAATCTATAAAAAGAACAAAAAACACCAGAGATGGAAAATATGTGGATAAATATAAATTTTCTTATTTTTAAAAGTTACTTCACAGACAAATGACTACTGATATCAAAAAATTATAACTATGTGATATGTGGTTTATAAAATATGTAAAAGTAAATGTATGACAACAATAGCATAAAGATTGAGAAGAAATGAAAGTACACTGTTGTAACATTCTCATACTATATGTAAAGTGGTATATTACTTGAAGATAGATTGTGACAAGTTAAAGATGTTGTCACGAGTTGAATTGTGCCCCTCCAAAATATATTTTCAAGTTCTAATCCCCAGTACCTGTGAATGTAGCCTTATTGGAAATAGTGTCTTTGCAGATGTAAGTTAAAACGAGGTATATTGGGTTAGGGTGAGCCCTTAACCAATGGTGTCCTTATAAGATAAGAGAAATTTGGGTACACAAACACACACAGTGGGGAAATGGCCATGTGAAGTCACAAAGACACGGGGAGAAATGTCATACGAAAATATAAGCAGAGATTGGAGCGATGCTTCTACAGGTGAAGAGACACTAAGGATTGCCAGCAACCACCAGAAGCTAGGAGAGAAGCATGGAACAGATTGTCCTTCAGCACTTCCAGTAGGAACCAACTCTGCCAATACATTGATTTCAGACTTCTAGCCGCCAAAATAGTGAGTGAATAAATTTGTTATTTTAAGCCACACAGTTTGTGGTACTTTCTTAGAGTAGCCTGAGGAAACTAATAGAGAGGTATACTGTATATGCTAAAGCAATCATTACAATTTTAAAAAATAATTATAGCTAATTGGCCAACAAAGGAATAAAACAGAACAAGAAATATTCAGTTCGTTCAAAAAATAAAGGCAGAAGAAAGGGAAAGGGGAATGTAGAACAGGTGGAACACATAGAAATCAAATAGCAAGATGATAGATTTAAAACCCTAGAATATAAAAATCATATTAAATATAAATGGCTTAGACACCTCCTTCATTAAAAGTCAGAAACTGTCAATTTAGATGTTTAAAAATCCAATTATATACTGTATTTAAATATAAAGACACAAATAGGTTAAAAGTGAAAGAATGGGAAAAGCATTGTCATGTTAACACTAATCAAAAGAAAGTTATTGGAGGGACTTCCCTGGCAGTCCAGTGGTTAAGACTGTGCTTCCACTGCAGGGGGCACAGGTCCAGTCCCTGGTCAAGGAACTAAGATCCCACATGCCGCATGATGCAGCCAAAAAAAAAAAAAAAGAAAGAAAAAATGTTATTGGAATGGCTATATTAATATTATATAAAGCAACTTTACTCCAATAAAAGTTAATTTAAAAAATATTAAACAAAGTAAATTGCAAAGCAAAACATATCACCAATTATTAAGAAGCTTATTTCATAATGATACTGGGATCAATTCACCTTAAATGTTTCTTCATATAATAATGAAGCTTCAAAATACAAGAAGCAAGAGCTGATAGAACTGAAAGGAGAAATAGAACAATTCCCATAAAAGAGAGTTCAATAACCTTTTCTGAATAATTGATAGAACAAGTTGGTAGAAATTCAGAAAGAATAAAGAAGTCTTAAAAAATGTTATCAGCCAACTTATGCTAATTGGTTTTCGAACACTTGGCATAACAGCAGCATATACATTATTTTCAGTCACACGTGAAACATTTACCCAGATGGACAAGAGTCTGGGCTATAAATATCAATAAATTTAAAAGGATTCGAATCATACAAAGTATATTCTCTGACCACAATGGAATATAATTAGAAATCAATAACAGAAAGATATTTGAAAAATTTAAATTAGGAATGTAAAGTACTTCTTTTTTTAAAATAAATTTATTTATTTATTTATTTATTTATTTATGGCTGTGTTGGGTCTTCATTGATGTGCATGGGCTTTCTGTAGTTGCGGCGAGCAGGGGCTATTCTTCGTTGTGGTGCACGTGCTTCTCATTGCGATGGCTTCTCTTGTTGCCGAGCACGGGCTCTAGGCATGTGGGCTTCAGTAGTTCTGGCACATGGGCTCAGTAGTTGTGGCTCGTGGGCTCTAGAGCGCAGGCTCTGTAGTTGTGGCGCACGGGCTTAGCTGCTCCTCGGCATGTGGGATCTTCCCAGACCAGGGCTCGAACCCATGTTCCCTGCATTGGCAGGCGGATTCTTAACCACTGTGCCACCAGGGAAGCCTAGGAAAGTAACACAATTTTAAATAACCCACAGGTCAAAGAAAAAAGCAGAGAGAATTTAAAAGTATTTTGAATTGAACTAAAATAATGAACAATTGTTTCAAAATCTGTGGGATACAGTTAAAGCAGTACTTGGCAGGAAATTCATAGTGCTAAACTCATATATGGAGGAGAAAAAGATCTTACACCAATGACCTCAGCTTCCTCCTTAAGAAATTACAAAGAGGAACAACTTAAATCTCAGGTAGGAATAAGAAAGGAAAAAATACAGATCAGAGCAGAATACAGTCAAACTGAACACAGACAAAAGCAAAACAAAAAAAAATCAATTAAATATGAAACTAGTTGAGAAGATCAAAAAAAATTATAAACCATTAGCCAGATTGATCAGACATATAAAAGAGAAGACACAGATGACCAATAACAAGAGAGATGTGGCCTCATTACAGATTCTGCAGATTTTAAAGAATAATAAAGGCAAGTTATGAGCAATTTAAGCCAATAAATTTGAGATGAAATTTGACATTTCATCTTGACATTTCAAAAGAACTGATTTTTTATAAAATCTCAACGTACAAAATTACTCCAGAATGGCATGCTACAGACACTGTACAGTATGCACATTTATTAACTTCAAAATTAGCTTCAAACCATTTAAAATTAAATTGGAATAAGAGTATAAAATGGAGTGTTAGGGGGGAAAAGATATTCTCACACATACACACACACACACACACACACACACACACACACACACGTTAGAATCTAAAAAGCTGGTTTTCCCAAACTTTCTCCTCATTTACCTCGGAAACTTTCCGATTGGGATGTACGCTGACTTCCCACCTCAGAATATGAGGACCTGTTTTTATTTTCTGGTTCGTTGACAAGCCACGATTTTGACATCAGATAAATCTCTTTCAGCGAAGGAGTCGGGGTAGCGGAGTCTTCTCCTGATCACCTCTTCTATGAAGTTTTCCCCGTTTATCTTTTTTCTTTTTTTTTCTTTTTTTGCGGTACGCAGGCCTCTCACTGTTGTGGCCTCTCCCGTTGCAGAGCACAGGCTCCGGACGCGCAGGCTCAGCGGCCATGGCTCACGGGCCCAGCCGCTCTGCTGCATGTGGGATCCTCCCGGACCGGGGCACAAACCTGTGTCCCCTGCATCGGCAGGCGGACTCCCAACCACTGCGCCACCAGGGAAACCCCCCCCCCTTTATTTTGAATACCACTTTCTCCATAGATAAAGCTCAATGATTTTTCCAAGCAACCTTGGTAAGACCTTTTATAGGATCCTCACAACTTTACAAAATAGTTAGTGAGACTGTTTCCCCTCCTGCTTTATAAGTGAGGAAAGAGGCTGCAAAGGGGAGACCTGAAACAGAGGTCTCCAGAGGTTTGGTCCAAGACTTTGATTCTCAATTGTCCTGACTGATGGAGCCACAAGACTCCTTTGCTCTTATTTTTCTTTCGTCTCATTCACCTAATTATCCTTTTATAAGCAACACTCTACAGGGGCCCACAGATCCTCGGAAAAAAACAAGCTCCTGCTTGCTCTTGATGTGCTCAGATTATGGTGACACAATCAACCAAATCGTAACACGGCACAAGGAGCTCAAGGTCCAAGGGAGAATATACTATCGATGGAGCAAAGAAATCTCAGGTACTTTTAGACTTCTTTTTAACTGAGTACCTATCTCGTATGCCAAGTGTTGTGCAGTTTTTATATATCCCAAGTCAATACACGAAGTATAATGTACTGGCCAGAAAGTTTTAAGTAACATACCTAAGGTAGATTTTCAACGAATGGGGCAGGTTTAAGATCACTCAATTTTCTTGCGGAAATTTCACAATTTTCTGCAGTCTCTATCCTGAGGCATGGATAGGTTGTAACCAGTACCCTCCGCGGTCTCTAAACCTCATTGCTGCGCGGCACAGCACCTCCCACTGCTAGAAGGCCCTAGAGCGCAACCTCGGTCCTAGAAGCCCAATCAGCGGCCCGGCAGCGACCCAGTGCCCGCCTCGGGCCGTGTCACGTGTCAGCCAAAATGGCTGCGCCCGTTCGACTTGAGCGAGGGTTGGAGTGAGCACTCGCGTGGCTGATGGAGGCAGTGACTGCTGGGAGGAGAGCGTAAGGTACCGGCATTCCGGGTAAGGGGGTGCAGTAAAAGGCGAGTATCAAGAGAAGCACAGCGTGGTGACATGATCTTCAACCGCAGCGTGGGAATGAGATCCCGGGACTGAGTCGCAAGGGGAGGAGGGGAATCGGTTCTACCGCACCGACCGTCCCTACACTTTCCACCCTAGAAAAAAAGTTCTTATATTTAAATTAAGCCTACAGGGGGCAAAAAAGAAAAGCCTGTGCTTGAATTTAATCCCGGGTTTACTGCCAATTTACAGGGTGACCTTGGCCTAATTTAATTTTCAGAGGCCCCACTTTCCTCATTTGTCTATCTCGGGAGCTATCTTGAAGATAGCTAATGCAAAAGCCTTTTGAAATGTTTGTAATATTTAAACGTGGAATTGTCTTTGATAGGGATTTATTATTAATAACCGGGATACAATGGCCTACTGCGGGCTGCCAGATCAGAACTTTTACCGAATTAAGGGTGACTTTTAATAGCGGCACCTTAGAAATGGCTAGTTCACAGAACCAGGAACCTCACCAATATGCAGAGCATAGAACAGAAAACTAGTGATAGCATTAGGCTGGACTTTCTGATGTAACAGTATTTCAGACATATACACTATACACTTTATATATACTGAATTTGATTACTTGTTTTTATCTCTCTCTCCACCACACCCCCAACCCCCCAACATAAAATTATTCAAAGTTCCTGTAAGGCAGAGATCTTAACGTTATTGTAACCAAGGCCCTCAAAATGTTTGAGTCCGGGAAACCCAGACGTAAATTTCTAAGCCTGCATTGTACTACTTATGTTAACTTTAAGTTTAGGGATATGAAATTCAGTGTACTGAATATTTTCCAAGCCATCTAATGGCTACCCAGTAAATATTTGTTAAATTAGTGTTATAATCTTGTAGCAAATGAATAGTGAACCAAGAAAATTAAATTTCAGAGTCATGTTGTCTGTCCTTTCTGAACTTTTTGATTTTCTTAACTCTGCTACCCTGAAATCTTATTTAATGAGCTAAATCTGCAGGCTAAAATTCCCTTAATCTTTTGTTCACCTCAACTAGCGCAGAGATCAACAAACTACCTGCCTGTGGGCCAGACGAAGCCTATCGCTTGTTTCTTTACGGCCAGCCAAAATGTTTTTTTATATTTTTAATTTTTTTTTTTTTTAAGTATTCGACAAAACACCAGTATGTGACCCGCAAAGCCTAAGATGTTTACCATCTGGCCCTTTTAGAGAAGTTTGCTGACCTCTGCTCTAGGGTGTACCTAGATGTGAAATTGCTGAGTGTGTGTCTTCTACTTATTAAGTACCAAATTCTTTTCCAAAGTGGTTGTACCTATGCTTCCACCAGCAGCACATGAGTTTCAGTTACCCCACATTCTTGCCAGTAATTGAAATTTAATTTTCTATTTTCCTGATTATAGTCGTTAAGCATATTTTTATATTTATTGTCTGTTTGACTTTTCTCTTTGTGAAGTGCCTGTTCAAACCTTTTGTCAGTTTTTCTATTGGGTTGGTTGCCTTTTTCTTATTGATTTGTACTATTCAATACTTGACATATTCCGGGTACCAACTACTCCTTTGTCAGTTACATTGCAAACATTTTCTCCCCAACTGGCTTATCTTTATGGTATCTGTAAATGAACACAGTTCATTTTAATTGGTTAATATTAGTTTAATATTAGCTTTATGTGTTTTATGGTTAGTGCTGTTTGCAAATTTACAATATTTTTAAGGGTTACAAAGATATTCTGTATTTCCTATAAGCTTTATGTGTTGTCTTCCATGTTCTGGTTTCTGTTTCATAGAATTGTGGGGGTTTTTTGGGGGGTGTCTAATGCATTAATTTTTCAGATTATGAAATAAAGCTATGGCTGCTTCTTTTAAAATTAAATATTTATGGTCTTCCAAAGGCTTTTTATAAGCTCTTTTGCTGTTTTTCTATAGATACACATTATTGAAAAATGACATTTTAATTTAAGGCTCAAGATGGAAAATCATAAACCAGATGGTACTGTCAAGAACAACTTAATTGAAATCATAACCAGAAAAATTAACCAACTTCCAGAAGCAGAAAGGTAAGATCCCTTCTTAATTAAAAAATTCTTTTATCAGGTGGACTTTCGTCATTGATTCATCTCAAATTTATTTGGTTTGAATATAAACAAACATAGAATGTCAGAAGGAAATTGAGTTTCTTTTCTTACGTTGATGAGAAAACCAAGTCTCAGAGAGATTAGCCATTTTCCTTTAAGTCAAGGCTAAAATTCATTTCTCCCAGTTTTTCCATCTGGCTTAGAGTATAGGCAGATGTATATATTTATGGACTAATTTAAATAACAAACCTTTAAACTGTCTTCTTTCTCAATTCATTTCTATCACTACACTTACCAGTCTAAGAGAGTGCCATGTAACACACATAACTAGACAAGGAATGTCAGAGAAATGGGATCATGGCTAAAAGATCTTTAAGATATTATTAAATTTATATAGGAAACATACTGATCTTTGAAGACAATGCTGAATGAACTCCAGTACTCTCCCACAAAATGTTCTTCAGGCAGCCTCTCTAACATTCCATTTAAACTGAAAATCTGAGACCAAAAACGATGAAGAAGAGTCAGCCTGGGGAGGAGGAAGGAATGGCATATGCCTAGGCCACAGACAGCAACGAGTTTGTCATATTTGAGGAACCAGTGTTACTAAAGTACAAGGGAAGTGGGCATAAGGTTGAAGGAACAGGAGGAGTTTTAAGCAGGGAATGATCCAGCTAACATTTCCAAAGAACATTACAGTTGCTTTTTGGAAAGTGGATTTAAGGTAGGCGAGAAAAGGAAGACGACCAGTAGGAAAACTGGCATAGTAATCCTGATGAGTGGTGGTGGCAGCTGAAGTGAAAAAAGGATGGATTTGAAATACATCTTGGAAGTATAATCTTACTGTCTTGCACAAATTCCAATCTTGCTGACACCAGCTCAACAAGGGAGAACCCATAAACCAAGGGCAGTAATAAGATGTATATCCAACCTCCCTCTCCCCCCACCACAAACACACACTGTACATCGTTTTTGTTATTGTTTTCCAGAGGTAAACAGAAACTTTTTAAGCAAATAAAAGACATGTGCCCATGTTTCCAGGCCAGTAAGGTAGGGAAAACCAGGAAGAATAGAGATGTGACAGCCTTGAAGAGAAGCAAGCAGGCTGTTACTGGGACTTTCACCAAATTAGAATAATCAATGGGGAAGTAATCTGGAACTGCAAAGTAAGCTTTAATTTGGAATAAACGGCTTTTGAACAGTGGCACCTAAACAGGGCAGATGACGGCATCTCATCTTTGTTCGCTATTTTTCCTCTGCTTCTATTTTATCTATCCTAGTTCTCCTAAGTTTGAATCCTCATTTCTTGCATTACCAATTTAGATATGTTTAATAGTTATTTGAAAAGTTCTTAAGTGTATGAAACTTTAGTATCAAACACTTCACTTTCTAATCTACAAAATAATTTCATGTGCCATCTATTTCATTGCCACTTGTTATTTCTGGTCTTATATTTCATGTGTTAGTTCATGTATCTAGTTATTTTATGGGTACTATCTTGCCAAAAAATCTTGAGTTCACGTTTCTAATTGTATAGGCACTTTTTGAGAACACTGACTGGCAATGGGGCTGCTAGATAATAACAATTTTGTATTGAATTATTAACTAAACAATGTGACTTTAAGCCACAGGAAATTAAAATCTGGTTGGGAGACAGCAAACGTTGCTATTCAGATTCCAGTTACACTCCTTGTTATATTTAGGTACTTATTTATGTAATTTTTAATAATATTTAACATTAATATATCAACATATTACAATGTATGTAATTATATAATTAATAATAATATTACAATGTATAGAGTATATAATATATATGGGCATTTGTTCCTATGACTAAAAATGAAGATAATACATATTTCACAGTATTGTTATGAAGATAAAATAAAAATATTTTAGAGGAAGTGCTCGAGTTTCCCATTCCCTCAGCTCCCACAAGAATACACAGGTCTTTTCACATTCATGTGTTTTGTTGTTTGGTAGCTCTCTAGGCCCTCATCACAATTTAAATATTGTCTTATGTACCCTAAGTTTCTAAACTGCCTCCCTTGTACTAACATTACCATTTTAATACACTTCTGTTATACTGGGTTAATCAAAATGTTTGTTCGGGTTTTTCATGGAAAAATCCGAACTTTTTGGCCAATCCAATATATCAAGTTTACATATCTTTCATTCTCCAATAATAAACTATGAAAACACTGAAGATAATTTTTTGTGCCTTCATCACCAAGTCTGCGGCATGCAATAAGTGCTCAATGATTGAATGACAAGTACCATTGTGATTGCAAAGTGACAGGTAAGAAAAGTAGTACCTTACACAATGTAGAAAGCTCAATTAGGAATTCCAAGAAAACCTGTCCTGAGTGTTAACCATAGAAGTTAGAGGGGATATTGTGTGTGGCTAGTTTGGCTAATTAAGAGTAATGAGAATATTAAGAGGTCGATGCCTGTGTTAAAGGAAGCAAAGCAGATGGTAAAGAAGTTAAGTGATAGGCTGAAGGCTTTGGATACTTTCAATATTCAGCAGTTTTAGTTTTTTTCCCCAAAACTAAAGAATGTATAGAACATGCATTTTAAGTCTCATACATGCCTTCCTTAAAAACCAGTTCAACCACTTACTATCCCAAAACATCAATTTATTCTTATTTCAATGAGCTCTTATAAAAAGTACCTAGCATAGAGGATCCCTTAAATGTTAGTACTGCTCCACCCCCTAATCCTGACTCTAATGCTTCAAGGAAGAGTAAAAGGAAACATCAATTTCACCTTATTGAATGCCTTCTGTGTGCCAGGTGCTGTTGAAACCAAGATATTTATATCTTTGTACCCACTGTCTTCAGGTTGTTTACAGACTAGTTGGGAAGCCTGACAGGTAAATCTGTGATAAGCTAGTACCACCTTATAATGTGTTTTGCTACAGAAGTAAGTATTGGGTATTGTGGGAGCCTAGAGAGGCATCCAAGTCAGACTCTTCAGAAGCTCTTCCCTGCTATTTACTTGGTGGGGGGGATGGTGGAATTTCCATACCAATATTCTTTGCAAAATCCCACAGTACATTTAGCAAAACTAAATGTATCACTGTATCCTTAAAGTGTTGACCAGATTCAAAGCCTTTTAGAATAAAAATCTATATGTAAAACAATGATTTTAAAAGGTTTTTGTTTTATGGAGCTATAAGATATAAATGTTGGATCCTGTTAATCCTAAAGTCCTGATAAGTTCTGTAACATATGCCAGAATTGTTGGAGAGCTAACACACGCAATACAGCCAAAAACAGTTACTGTTTTTTCTCACCGACTCAGGAATCTGCTTGAAAATGGATCAACATATATTGGACTTAATGCTGCCCTCTGCGGCCTAATAGCAAATAGCCTCTTTCGACGCATCCTACATGTGACACAGGCTCCTGTAGCTGCTGGCTTACCAATGGCAGTGATCCCATTTTTGATGGCACACATATCTTACAAAGGTTTTGTAAGCTTACCTTTGAATACAGGTAAATTCTATTTCACTGTCACCAGCAAGTCTGCTTTGGTATATGTACATTATTTGCACCTTACATTAATCCTTAAATAATTTTAGCAATTGGCTATATGCTGTAATACAGTCACTGCTTGGATAAGACTGAACCTTGCTAGCCTCTCTATGTAAAACAGCAATTCAGATTAGCATGGTCTACCAAACAAGTAAAATATATGCACAGTAATTCTAAATACTTTCCTTTATCTAACTTCTCTCTCCCACAGTGTTTGGTAAGAAATATTTGGAAACTTTATTATTTTTTAAATGCTGACTGCCTTAATTTTTAAAAAATTATAGAATTTCCTTAAGGGGAAAAAAATTTTTATGGGAACAAGACTCTTTATCTTGTTCCCATAAAAATCACTAAATCTCTAAAAGCACTAAATGTGTATATGTGCAATAGTTATCAAATACATGGAGACTTGATTTCCTTTGGACAGTTCACCATATTTACTGAGTACTCCAAGTATAGGTAAATCATGAAAGAATTTCTGATTAATAATTTTAAAAAATTATTACCACAGGTGGTAGTAGGGAGGCAGTCCATTTAAATTCTCTTAAGTGCTACTTCAGATTTAAATTAGATGAGTATTTGCTTGAATCCCCAAGATCAGTGTGGAAAGAATTTTTATGTGCACGGAAACCTATTGCACAATAAACTGAACAGAATGAGTGAAAACACAGGTTAGTGTAGCTATTTTTAATACCTTGTACTAATCTGGAAATGAATAAACAATTTTATAAAAATGAAATCACACTGCATAATGTAAAAATGTAAGATAAATCAAACTGTTAAATTTCCCATGGGTTTAAAAAGTTTCTTAAAGACAAAAATATTAGCTCAGGTTTGCTAATACATGCGCAAAAAGCTAGAAGCAGTGCAAAATGAGTATTATATTCAAGTTCAAAACAAATTAGGGAATTTTTCCTAAGATGGTTTTATCAGTTATTCCTGGCTGTTTTAGATTATCCATATGTGTAATTATACCTTTTAACATGCCTTGTAGAAATGCATTTGCTGTATTACTGCCTGAAAATTGAGTATCTGTGATACATAAAAGGGGACCTTGCATTCTTTAAATGTTTGCTTGACTATCCATTTGCAGAACTAATTTATTTCCTAGGTGATTTACATTGTGAAACCTGTACCATAACACGAGGTGGACTGATTGGTCTTGTTTTTGGTGGCGTGTACCCTGTTTTCTTGGCTATCCCTGTGAATGGTGGCCTAGCAGCCAGGTAGGATTGCTTTCCATAATTATCGAAAAACTTTAGTAATATATATAAATGATTGCCTAGAAAATGCAAACTTTAAAACAGCAATTACATTTTCTATTTTTAAGGCAGTGTTACCTGTTTGACTTGAAAGAGTTAACAAGACTTGTTTTTTCTGGGTAATCAAAGAATACTTCTGAAGAATTTGAAAACACTTCTAGAAATTTATCACACTACCTCTTGGGTGGGTAGTTCAGGTTCTTAGCTTTACATATTGAATACTAGCTACAAAGCTGCAAAAAGTACTGTGACTAGCGTGAAAGCTACATTATATGCATAATGTTCTTAGGGTCTGAGTACTTCCTCTAAAAGAAAATTCCATCAGAAAATGTCTCGCTATAAGCCAAAATAATTCAGTTATTCTCTGATGAACTCTTGTACCAAGCAATCTATACTATATGAGCTTCCAGAGGTGAAACGGAGAAAAGGACAAAAGAAAACAAAAGGACAGTTTTTATGACTAATAGACATTGAAGAGAATAGCATTACCTCAGTCTTTACCTAAGCTAGTTTTAAGACTTCTGGAATTAATATGTATTGTACACAGATTTGCCACTTGATACAACTGTCTTTTCTAGTGAACTGTCTCAATGTTTTCTTACAGGTATAACTCAGCCCTGCTACCCGAGAAAGGAAACATCTTAAATTACTGGATTAGGATTTCTAAGCCTGTCTTTAGAAAGATGTTATTTCCCATTTTGCTCCAGACTGGGTTTGCAGCATACCTTGGGTCTAGACAATATAAACTACTTATAAAGGCTCTTCAGTTACCTGAACCTGACCTAGAAATTCAGTGATGGTTAAGCAAATCTGTACACAAAAATAAAACTGTAAAAATAATCTACATCTAAGTATGAATAAATAAGACTTGTAATTTATCACATGAGGTACAATTCTGGGATCTACAACAAAAGGCTGAATAAATTATTCAACACTACCCACTTAGCCAAGAGCCTACTTCTCTAGTGTTCCCAATACCGTCTCTCCCACATTGCTTGCCCTACTCCTTTACGTTAGGCAGTTTGGTCTGTAACAGGGAAAACCACACAGCAGTTTTCACTGAAAACCTCAAAGAATCCAAACAGGAATGAAAATGGCAGGGGCCAGGGTGGGGAGTATCAAACACACTACAGAAACGTTACACTTCATTTTCTCAATTCACTGTTTCCATAGGTATTATTCTTTCATAGAATCTTAGAACATATTTAAAAACATTCCTTACAGAGGGATCAATTCCCAGTATTCTTCACAGATGATTATTCAGGCTCAGCTTGAGCTGTCCTAATGATAGTTACCTACTTCAAAAGTCATCCTATTTATATCATTGGAAAGCTATACTCTTATAAGATTAAGGCAAATTCTATCTTTGAAGCTTTCATCTAGTGTGGTATAGTTCTTTAGAAGCACATAGACCTGAGCCATTTTTTTTGGCTGTATGATGCTAAGCAAGTTAACTGATCTCTCTGGCCCTCAGTTTCCTCATCAGTAACCTCACTCAAGATTGGTATCATACATGTAAGTTGACTTAACGTAGCACCTGTCATCAGGCACTCAAATTTGAGGTAGCCATATTCTTCCTATTGTTTCTGGTTTTGTTTTTTGAAATATCCTAGGTCTATTCCTCAATTCCTAAGATGGATCATTTAAATTTTTGAAAGGATCTGTTGTTTCCCTTCCTAAAAGTTTTCATCTCAGTTCTTGAAACCATTTTCTCATGTAACAGCATCTAAATCAGCATTGGCCAACAAAACTTTCTGTGATGATGAGGAAATATTTTATATTATGACTGATATGTTAGCACTAGCCATATGTGGCTATGGAGCACCCAAAATTTGACTAGTGCACCGGAGTAAGTGAATCTTTTATTTTAATTAATTTAAATTGTTTAGCCACATGTGGATAATAGCCTCAGTGTTATACAATGCAGAGCTAGACCAACACTTTCTTATGAAACAAGCCAGTCATACCAAACAGTATTTGTGTCATCCAAGACCACATTCACAAGCATCTTAACTATTCTTTTCAAATACAGTGATATATCTGTTAAATAATCTTATGCTACTTAAAATTATATGAAAGGATTTAGCCTGTCACCTAAAAAAGGCAGCTGAGAGTGGGACAGGCTTTCAGTGGCCCTTAAAGAAAGCAGTGCAGCCAAAGATGTAAAATTCAATTAATAAAATACAAGGGAATTCCCTGGCAGTCCAGTGGTTAGGACCCCACACTTTCACTGCTGAGGGCACAGGTTCAATCCCTGGTCGGGGAACTCACACAAGCCACGTGGTGAGGTCAAAAAAAACCAAACAGAAACAGATTATAAAACAAAATTCCCTATCAAACTGTTTGATAAAAAAAAAAATCCCAATTATCAGACAAAAGAATCTGTATTTTACTGTGGATATTCTCTGGGTTATACAATTAAGGCTGATTTTTCTTTTCATTCTGATTCCTTTCTGGATAATCCCAGCTTTCTGAAATGAATATGCTTTACCTTTACAACTAGGAAAAACATATATAAAAGGCAAAAAAAGAAAACCAAAAAACTTTATTTTACAAGCTAAAATACCACGATGAAGCTGTCTGACCCAAAATTATACATTTTATGTGTGTGCTGTCATTTTTATTTAAAGCAGAGTTCTACTTATCACAGTAAAAAAAAAAAAAATTAAAATTCCTAACTTCAAAAATAAGAAACCCAAATTACTGAATTAGACTCCTTTAAAAAGAGAGAATGGTATAATGAACTTAGATAATTCAAAACCCACTGATATTACTAAATGGATAATTTAGCACAAATTGTTTCCTTACTTATCCTTAAAACACTCCCACCGTACTTACTCCCTAGCATACCACCATCTATAAACATACAAAAATTTACAATGGTTTCTGCAACCAAAAACGATTTCTAACATCTGTCCTCTACCATATTTTTCTTAAATCATCTTCCCAGGTAGTAGAAATGGGCAACGTAAGCCAAAGAATGTTACTTTAAACCTGTTGCTATAAATGTACTTTACCAAAACTTTTGGTCAGGGGGCAAATTTGTGCGAGTCTCCTGTGATCTGCATTACAATTTAAGGAAAGTCATTTTTAGCTAAGACCTGAAGAACACTGCCTCAGTCAGGAAAATAGTTTATTTCAATTCTGTCACAGTAAACAAACTATTTAAACGTGTCTTTCAAAATTTATTCTGTGCAGTTATTTGGCTTTAAAAAAGAAGGTTCATGTTATACTATACTTAAACTAAGATATTAATTTGTAAACCCCAGACTATGGTACATTAGAAGCCAGAGGGGTTTGACCTCAGTGGGTAAAGAGGAAACAATTTTTTTTTTTTTGCAGTACGCGGGCCTCTCACTGTTGTGGCCTCTCCCAACTCACAGGCTCAGCGGCCATGGCGCACAGGCCCAGCCGCTCTGCGGCATGTGGGATCCTCCCAGACCGGGGCACAAACCCGTGTCCCCTGCACCTGCAGGCGGACCGTCAACCACTGTGCCACCAGGGAAGCCCAGGAAACAGAATTTGATGGCACATTTTAAAGGAAGTTGGGCCACCAATAAAATTCAAATCCGTACATATTAACAGCTACACGAATGTTCAAAACACCAAGTGACTAGATTTTTAAATTAGATTAACTGAAAATTGAGCAAAAGATGAATTTCAGCAAATTTTGGGTCAACAGAACTACAAAAAATTGGGAATTCCCTGGCGGTCCAGTGGTTAGGACTCCACACTTTCACTGCAAAGGGCCCGGCTTCAGGAAGTAAGATCCCACAAGCCACGTGGCATGGCCAAACAAAAACTACAAAAAATTATGAAAGCCCACTGTGACCCGGTTTCTTTTTAAAAAGTGGGGAAAACGGCTAAGAAATCCTGAATGTACAAATTGGGGAAAGGTAAAAGACTAGGAATAAAAACACTGAGTAACCAAAGCAATGAACAGGGCAACTTTCTTTTAACCTTTATCTTTAAAAAATATTTTTCCTCTAATATTACAGGATTTATTGCTAACGATAAAGTAATTTACTTTCTGAATAAAATTTAAATTATCTCCAGTTTAATTTTCCTGCACTTTAAAACTGCATGTAAATGACCACTTGCAGTCTAGGTCAGAGCTCTGAGCTCAGTCTGGTATTATAAGACAATAGGGAGTGACTGGCAGAGAGTATTAAGGTATTCAAGTTCAAATATGTAAAAAGTACTGTGCTGGCCAAACAAACACTTTACAGGTTTCTAATGGAGGACCTCCCCTTTTTGATCCCTGGCTTAAATGGTAACTACCTGGTTTCTCAACAAAAAACAGTACAGTAAAATATAAAAATATAACCATTTGGGAAGGTCTCAAAACTCTGTATTGATAGCCTGGGGGAAAAAAACTAAACACTTGAAAATATTTTACTACCTATTCAACCTTAAATAGTCATATAAGATTGTTTAGCTTAAAGGCATACCTCCAAAATACTGAACTAGGTAATCACATACTTTAAAAGGTAATGACTCATTATCAGTGAATTATCCACTCTATTCTATCAAAGCAGTAGTTATAGTCACTAAATAGTGTTGATGCCTACCTGATTTTGGTTACAATACAACCAGCTGTACTGTTCATACTGTAGGAGCATCCATCAATCACATAAGCATAAGCCACTGGGAATGCTCTTTGCTGCCTGGCATCAGAGACACTGAATACACTTACAAGAAACTGAGTGGATTTAATAAATTTTTTATATCACCATACAATAACCAAACGGTATAGTTATTATGATGAATCATTCTGGAAAGAAAATAAGAGCCTATCTCCTACCCCCTCCCACTTCTATCATCTGCACACTTCCCAAATGAGTCAGTAAGATAAAATGACTCAGTCTAGACCAGGTGAAAGAATGTATTAACATAATCCAACAAAAATGAAATAAAACAACCAGAGTTTTGAGTGTTTTTTCACACTTGTAATAACTGGAAAAATGTTTCAATTAAGTAAAACAACCATATTCCATGAAAAAAGCCACTCCCATCATCCAGAATACTAAAGCCCTTACATACTAGAGAAATTTTAATATAAAACAGTAGAAACTAGTATACCATTCATTAGAAACCTCAAAATATTTTTAATAAGTCCTCGGAGAAAGCTCAAGAAGCCAAAAACCTCAGAATCCACACATCTTGGCATTACCCTGAATCGCAATTAACTACCCACACATTTAATCATAATCAATTTTTCAAAGATATACAGACAAATCAATGCATCTATTTAAAAAGACTACTCTTTAAAGACTTTACATTAACTTTTATATTCTACTCAGCAACGTCTGTCTGTACTTCAGATTAGTTCTCATGTTCCAGGAAATAAATACAAACTCATGATATGCCTGTGATCACTGATGGCCTGTTTATGTAATTCTACTCCACTAAATCTAATTCCACAGAATGTGCGCTTGATTATGTAAAGAATCTAATATTCCTTGATGAAATACTATCATTCTCTTCTCCAGTGGTTGCAATTTTTAAAAGGTATGCAAAGAACTGAGTATCACTCCCATGAAAGACAAAAGTAAGTATAATTTTGTTCCAAAATTAACTTTGTCTCATGTATTTCTATTAAGTCTTTCAAGGATTCCAGAGAATCTTTTCATATCTCCATTTCTGGAAAGTGAAATCAGTATAGAAGTAATTTGGGAACTTGAAAATGGCATTCATTTTTTTCAGCAGATGCCAAATTTTTGACCGACATGGCTCCCACAATTACTTTGTTACCATCAGTCCAGTCAGTTAACAGGTTGTAGGAAAAGATTCGTTTTTGCAGACACTGCTAAGCTGTTTAAAGAGAAGAGAGAGAGATTAATTTAGTGATTATCAAATGCACAAATATTTAAAATATTTCGAACACTTTTTGTCGGATTACATCAGAGGTGTGACTACACTTTAACAAACGTGGACTTTTTAGTTAGGTTTGGTCAAGGAAGTGGAGAAACATTAAGTCAATATGATGTGTTAGTTCAATTAATGTATAAATTCCTGTCACTATCGGAAGACAAACATTTAAAGCTACATCTTTAGTACTTGCTTTATCATTCTGCCACAGAAGCACAATTAGGAAAAAAAAATTAAAATAAAAAAGATTCCCCAAACACTAAATTGCTTTCATCCATTACAGTAAATAGAGCCAAACCAGAAAATTTCTAAATCCGTATTATATTCCAGAAATCTCCTTTATCCAACTACTAATCATTCAGAACACAATTTTCTAAAAATAGTAAGACAACAGCTTCATATTAATCATAACTTTTTTAATTAACAAGTAGTGAATAGGACACTTTAAGATATTGTTTACTACATACTGAAATAAACATATCTGTTGTAAATTCAGAAACCCAAACATTTACAGTAAAATGTGTTTACACATAAATATGACCAAATTTATTTAAAGCCCCTGTTAGATAGGTCCTAAATACATGCAATACCATGTAAAAACAAGACCATGACGTTGATGCAAAAAATGACAAAATCACTAATTTACCAAAATTAGAAAAAAAAGAGAATGAGATGGAAACTAAGAAAAGACAGTTAAAACAGAAGCAACCTAACAAAGCAGCTTTTAAAATAGTCGATACTAATCTCCATTTTCAAAAGTTCTTAATCAAGTATTTCCAAAAACTGCCATTTATAAAATGACATTCTAAAAATCTATACTTGGAATGTCAAAGCATCCCAATTCAGAAAGCTTTGACTACTGTTTCTCCCCAGCCCCAAACTTCAAATAATGCAGGAAAATCATCGACATTAGGAAGAAAATATTCCAAGGGAATGGTATAATTTTTAGAAAAACGCACTTACTGCTTCCAGAAACTTTTAAGACCCACAGCATTAACAACAATCATTTTTCCTATTTTCATCCATTATTTTCTAATGTCATGTTAGAGATGAATAAATTATTTGAGCCCATGACTGAAAGATCAACAAACCTGGTTTTATTATGACACCATATTTTTGTCATTGGTACTGCACAAAATTATATACAAAGAAATATATACAAAATGTTCAAGTATTAATTAACTTTCAATTCAAGGCTTCTGTTTCAAAAAGCTACATTAACATATTCCATAAAGATAGCACAAATTAGTCATTTCAAATAACTTTTCCAACTACTTTTGGTTTTTATATATATTTATATATATAATTCAGTAGGCACTAAAAATCCATGCAGCTGCATTGTGAGGGGCTTGCTCCTGCACTTAGGTATAAGCAGGTTCATCACTCCAGGTTGTGAGTTTGGCTACTATCCATTCATGCTCAAGTGCAGTAGATGATTTTACAAAATATGCTGTAATGCACTGGAAACCAGAGACCAAGTTAGGTCTCAAAAGTGTATTATCTAGCAACAAAACATTTACAGTTCTGCAAGAACAAGATTCCATTTTCATAACCAAATAACAACAAAATAAAACATTTTATATGTAAGATAACTTACATCTTTGGACTGCTGGAAAATACTTTTTAATTATGAACATTTTAAAATAAAAGCAGAAGCCCTGATATTACCTCTTTTTCCTCATTTCTTATACTACCTTTTAAAATAAAGCAGGAAATGTGGCCAGCAGCTGGTCCCGTCTCTTCTGCCCCAACAGCTGTATCCACTTTAGCACAAAGAAAAACAAGGATGCTAAATACGTATATACTTTATCAAACAGTGATGTTTCACAAAGAATTTCTTAATGTCTCTTACACTGAAAGACACTGTGACTTAATCTATACAACTGGACAATAGATAATAGAGTACTTCAAAGGAAGACTATGTCCCAACTTTGGAAAAAGTGTCAATCGTGTCATTAAGTCACTCAATTTTAAAACTTACTTTTAAATAGGACAAATACCCTTGAAATATGGAGAATAAGATTCTTTGTGAAGCCTCACTTTACACGTTTTCATTCACATTTCATAACCTTCAATTTCTAATCATACATAAATTTAACCTAAAATTTTAATACAACAAAAATAAAGGTGTTCAACAATTTATTCATACTCAGTGATAGGGTAAATCACTGTGCTGGTCCTCAAAGAAACATTTCATTAACCATTCTTATTTTTCCTTTAAGTAACTAACACAGGAGTCTGATATGCATGTTAATTTCCAACTTCTCTAATGGTGAGATAAAAATCTATTAATCTGAATAGATTGTATATCTAGATCTATGAAAAACAAAAGGCATTCTTGAATATTTAAGAGACTTCTGTCATCTCCACAAAATAACTGATCACATTTGTGTATGCCCCAAGTACTTATTGTCAACCTCTGAAAAGTTGCTCTAAAACTGGAATTCCAATTTGCACCTTGTACAACTCGGAACTTCCATTCAACTTCACCTGTGTCACTTTCTCCAAACTGTATCTCTATTAGCAGCTTTCAGTGTACAGTTGGAACCGATGTCATCCAAGGCCATGTCCACACTGGGGACAGAAGAGCTAGGTACACGCAAGTCTGAACAAGGGGACACATTAACAGCTATTTCAACCAGAAAAAGCAACTTGAATACAATATCGACCAGCACAAGTCTGTTTCCAGGGTGGACAGGGCCCAAATTAGATTCCCCTCCCACCTTCCAAAAAAGAAAAGAAAAAAAAAATCACACACACACACACAAATTGAGATGTTGCCCATTAAAGTAGACTAAGCAGCAGAGCATGAGCGTTACGTGAAGAGATGGATCCTTACCAGGTTGTGAGGCGGGAACGACTGTTCTGTAACCCCTACAACGGAGCCTGGCAGGAAGGAAATCACCTAAAAAAGAAACTGTCAGAGAGATTTAATAGTGACATGTTATCATTAGGAGTTGGTTACAGTGTCACATTCATGCTTTTAGCTAAACACTTAAAGATTCAATATTACTTTTTTCCTCCTCTGAAATGTGTCCAGTGAAGATGTCCCACTAAGGTGTTTTACATGGTGTAAGGGAGTTGAAAGGGGTAAACGCGGATAAAGAGCAGATTACTTGACCCTACATTTTAAGAGAAGACGACGCCTTCCGGGCGCACGCCGAGCAGAACTCCACCGACACCTTATCCTTGTCCACATGAAGACACACTCCTCCGGCTGCGTCGTCCTCTTCCAGCAGGTCCTGCTGCTGCTTTCCCACGGGCAGAGCGTAGTCGTGGTCACCGGCGGGCGAGTCTCTGAAGAGCGAGGTGGTCAGCCGCAGTCCCACGCCGCTCAGCCGGCTCAGCAAGCGAGCCAGTCCGGTCTCGTTGGCTAAGACGGCCCGTAGGTAGCGACTCTCCTCCTGCAGTGCTTGTACGCGCTTGCCTAGCTCCCGATTCTCGGCCCGCAGCTCCTGGTTCTCGGCTGCCAGACCCCGTACTCGACTCTCCAGCCCCATCACGTACTCCTTCTTCTTCAGCCGATTGAGACGGGCAGCAGCCCCCGCCCACTTCCGGGGACTCTTTGTCGCCGCCTGGTTGTTGTCGTTGCCGCTGCTGCCGCCGCCTCCTCCCGGGGACTTTCTCCGCCTCTTTTCGCCGCCGCCACTGTCACTGCCGCTGCTGCAGCCTCCGATGCCGTTTAACAGCCTCTGCAGCAGGTCAGAAAAGCGCTGCATCTCGGCAGCCGCGGGCTCGCCTTGAAATATGGAGAATAAGATTCTTTGTGAAGCCTCACTTTACACGTTTTCATTCACATTTCATAACCTTCAATTTCTAATCATACATAAATTTAACCTAAAATTTTAATACAACAAAAATAAAGGTGTTCAACAATTTATTCATACTCAGTGATAGGGTAAATCACTGTGCTGGTCCTCAAAGAAACATTTCATTAACCATTCTTATTTTTCCTTTAAGTAACTAACACAGGAGTCTGATATGCATGTTAATTTCCAACTTCTCTAATGGTGAGATAAAAATCTATTAATCTGAATAGATTGTATATCTAGATCTATGAAAAACAAAAGGCATTCTTGAATATTTAAGAGACTTCTGTCATCTCCACAAAATAACTGATCACATTTGTGTATGCCCCAAGTACTTATTGTCAACCTCTGAAAAGTTGCTCTAAAACTGGAATTCCAATTTGCACCTTGTACAACTCGGAACTTCCATTCAACTTCACCTGTGTCACTTTCTCCAAACTGTATCTCTATTAGCAGCTTTCAGTGTACAGTTGGAACCGATGTCATCCAAGGCCATGTCCACACTGGGGACAGAAGAGCTAGGTACACGCAAGTCTGAACAAGGGGACACATTAACAGCTATTTCAACCAGAAAAAGCAACTTGAATACAATATCGACCAGCACAAGTCTGTTTCCAGGGTGGACAGGGCCCAAATTAGATTCCCCTCCCACCTTCCAAAAAAGAAAAGAAAAAAAAAATCACACACACACACACAAATTGAGATGTTGCCCATTAAAGTAGACTAAGCAGCAGAGCATGAGCGTTACGTGAAGAGATGGATCCTTACCAGGTTGTGAGGCGGGAACGACTGTTCTGTAACCCCTACAACGGAGCCTGGCAGGAAGGAAATCACCTAAAAAAGAAACTGTCAGAGAGATTTAATAGTGACATGTTATCATTAGGAGTTGGTTACAGTGTCACATTCATGCTTTTAGCTAAACACTTAAAGATTCAATATTACTTTTTTCCTCCTCTGAAATGTGTCCAGTGAAGATGTCCCACTAAGGTGTTTTACATGGTGTAAGGGAGTTGAAAGGGGTAAACGCGGATAAAGAGCAGATTACTTGACCCTACATTTTAAGAGAAGACGACGCCTTCCGGGCGCACGCCGAGCAGAACTCCACCGACACCTTATCCTTGTCCACATGAAGACACACTCCTCCGGCTGCGTCGTCCTCTTCCAGCAGGTCCTGCTGCTGCTTTCCCACGGGCAGAGCGTAGTCGTGGTCACCGGCGGGCGAGTCTCTGAAGAGCGAGGTGGTCAGCCGCAGTCCCACGCCGCTCAGCCGGCTCAGCAAGCGAGCCAGTCCGGTCTCGTTGGCTAAGACGGCCCGTAGGTAGCGACTCTCCTCCTGCAGTGCTTGTACGCGCTTGCCTAGCTCCCGATTCTCGGCCCGCAGCTCCTGGTTCTCGGCTGCCAGACCCCGTACTCGACTCTCCAGCCCCATCACGTACTCCTTCTTCTTCAGCCGATTGAGACGGGCAGCAGCCGCCGCCGCCTTCCGGGGACTCTTTGTCGCCGCCTGGTTGTTGTCGTTGCCGCTGCTGCCGCCGCCTCCTCCCGGGGACTTTCTCCGCCTCTTTTCGCCGCCGCCACTGTCACTGCCGCTGCTGCAGCCTCCGATGCCGTTTAACAGCCTCTGCAGCAGGTCAGAAAAGCGCTGCATCTCGGCAGCCGCGGCCTCGTCATCGTCGTCCCCTCTCCACAGGCCGCCGCTATCTGAGCCTCCGCCGGACGAGGACAGAGGCCCGGGCGAGTTGAGCCCGGGCTCCAGATGCCAGTCTGGTTGCCGGGGGTCCAGCAGATCCGCCAGTTCCAGGCCGGACAGGAAGTCCATGTCCTCCGTCTCCTCCCCGGGGACGCTGGAGATAGCCTCCTCCTCCATCTCCTCGGGCGAGGGCGCGCGCGCGGCCACGATGCCGCGGCCCCCCCTCCCGGCGTCCAACTCGCCCTCGTCGCCGCGCGGCTGTTTGCGGCCGGGAGACCCGGCCGCCGCCGTCCCCTCGTCCTCCGCTGCCGCCCGGGTCAAGTCCGGGGGCAGCGAGCAGGTCGCGACCGACGCCGGGCTCTCGCTGCGGGTTGGGGAGTCGCTGCCCGAGGCCGCCAGCAGTTTGGTCAGGCTATGCCTCATGGGGCCCGACAGCGGGCCCACGTAGGCCCCGGCCCCTCAGACCGGGCCTCGCTGGTCCCAAGGACCCAGAGCGGGTAGCCGGGCAGCAGGCCAGAACGAAATGAAGAGGAAGGTCCGAGTCGCCTCCCGCCCGACTTGGCTGGTCGACCCCCCGCGCCGGGGCGGGGGGGGGG